AATGATATAAATGATATACCTGATCATCACACAAGCGATCTAAAGCATCTCGGTAGTATCCTAATCCAGCAGCGGATGACGTGCGCGTGACATGAGCAAATAGCCATCTGACACACAGTAATGTATAAGAATATAAAAGGGATTCACGTATGTCATACAAAAAAAATCATAAACATACTTACGACCCAAAGGATCCTCGCCACGAACATGATGTGGCCCAAGTACAGCGTGCTGATCCATATCATCATCAAGAGGACCACCATCTACCCCATGATATCGCAGTATGACAGGTCTGCCGATATGAATGTGCTCCCATGACCATAGCTGTATGAGCAATAAAAACCCACCCATCTCTCCACTGTCACGATGACAACCTCGACATAACTGCCGATATAGGTATGCTAAAGTCGCACTACCCCAGCTATAAACTGCAGCTACATCAAAAGACTCCAGAATGGGTAAATATAAGACCTGCACCTCATTCCCGCTCTTGTCCGCAAACGTGGAAGCTCCCATACGCATCAGAATGTAGGCTCTCGCGTACTGCTGCACAACATCGTTGTAACACCCCCAAATTTCCCACCCAAAAATATAAATTTATTCAAAAGAAATATTAGACTTTTATTTGAACACAGCGGAAAAATATTCAAAGGGAAATAGGGGCGTTACCGCCACACTCGGTTCTCTCTTAACCGAGTGCACAGGCTAAAAATACTCAAACTCCAAAATGATTATTTAGATCTTGTAAATTATCTACATTGATTACTATAACTACATTTTCTAGCGGAGGCTCTCTCAAAATCAACAACTTCGTCAAATCATCACCTGTATAAAATCAAGTACAGAAAGAAAAACAAAAGAACACAAAAATTAGCAATAATGCTAAGTAAGTTCCACCTAACCTTTTAAAATAATAATAAATAATATATATATATATATATATATATATATATATATATATATATATATATATATATATATATATATATATATATATATATATTCGTACAACCTCATAAAATATTTTTCAAAACACTTTATAAATTATAAGTAAATGATATCTATACAAAATCCCAACCACACAATTTGCAAATACCGTAATAATTCCAAAATACATGAAACACCAAGATTCTCCTCTTTTGAATTTCTCCCAAAATCACTTTGTAACTAACTCCCTAGTACTTTAGAAGGGCGATGCTCAATACTTTGGTTGAGCCCGGTGGTCCGTTGTTATGTACGGCCACCCCGGGACCATTGTCGGTACCACAACTGCTCAATGGAAACGGAAACAACTACCTTAAGTGTGCACACCCCCTAAAGGTATTCCAAGCCCTCCGGGTTAGTAAGTTGATCCGGGTAGTTAGGATGTTTTCTACCAACTACCCCACCTCAAAAACTGAATGATTAGGAGCTACTACTACCACTACTACTCAAAAGTCGGGATGTTTTCTACCGACCATCAATTCACCTCAAACCAATACTAACAAGAATTGAGTAGTAGTAGACCTAACCACCCTCCACATTTTAAGGGACGTGGAAAACCGACATCACGGATTTCTCCCGTGATGCCCACTCTTTATGAAAATATTTATTTTTCTTTGCTTTCTCAAAATCAATCGAAGTTTATACTTCAAAAATTTCCTTTTTATCAAACTCTCACAAAGATAACAAATTACGTACTATTACAAAATCTCCCAAAATTGTATACAATAACTCATATTAACAAACCAATATATCAACTAATATCCCAAATACAACCCTTTCATATCATAGTATTTAATCAAATTCAGCACACATAAATTCAATTCTCAAATATGCACACAAAAATATTCAAAGAAATCACGAAGTAAAAAGAACTAATTTCGGTTGACGTGAAACTTACCTGAAAATCGCGAAAAATCCTAACTGAGGCATCTACCTTGATCTCCACTCCATTTAACCTTCTATTAGAATTCAAAAATCATTATTCTATCAAAAATTCGTCTATCCTTTATTCTCCCTCTTGTCATTTACTTATTTTATTAATCACCTCATGTAATTTATATTCCATTTGGAAAAGTCCAGATTTAACCATCCATACGTTGTTTTAGTTTAATACCAGTCCGATCCATTCATAACAGTCAGATTGTATTACGAAATAAAATGACCATTTAACTAGAAGAGACAATTTCAAAAGTGAATTACTCTTATAACCAATTTTATCATTTTCATTATCCATATTCTAATTACTATTTACTGCTATCCTCCTCCTCCTCCTCATCATCATCATCATCATCATGATCATTATTATTATTATTATTATTACTCTTATATATAAATCTGGTCCGCAACTAAGCCAATAGTCCAGTTCAAAATATTATACAAGTCTGAAGCTACGTACTGTGTTTGTTGTCTAATTCGTAACTTGGCACCGGAAAATGGCGCTCCTCCCTCATCCACGGCATCTGTCCTGTGGTGGCACTTTCCTCATGTCGCCTATCGTACCATAGCCTGGCAAGTACAATACAAACAAATGGGTTTCTCCGGCGATCCGTTGTGTGGGCGACGGCGACGACTCCAACTGGCACGGACCTTCCCCTTCCTTCCTATTCTGGCGACGTCGGCAGACGATTCAGCGGTTATTTTTGGTTTTGGATTCACAGACCGGAATACTTCATTTCGTATCTTTGTATTACCATACAAATATAATATGTATATGTTGTGTATGTATATGTGCGCGGCGGTGGTATAATATGCAAGAGGCTGCTTGTTTCAGCCGTTATGGCTCCAATGATCCCCGGTAGCGTATATATACATACACCCGTTAGAGGGTTCTAGATGCCCGTTACAAAATCTCGTATCATTATTTCTTATTTACGAGCTTACCTTATTTGGCTGGAAACTATATGGGTACGAGTATATATCAATGTAGAAGCTTCGTAGAATTAAACAATTTATTAATGGTTACTAGTAATTCCACCCGTGCTGCGCACGGGAGTGAAGATGTTTGGATCAGTCATACATAAACCCAAAGAATTTCATAGTCAATTAACCTAACTCAAAACATAAAAGTAAAAACTAAAACAAAATAATCAAATTAAAGCATAAAATAAAATAAGTATTCATATTTAATATCAAATTAAAAAATAATGTTCAATACAAATCATGATACGATATACGTAGCAATGAGTATGCATGTATGTAAAGGAAGGGAACTATAAATTAGTATAAACTTCTTTGTATACTACATTCAACGCTGACTTCGTCAGTTTCCCTTCTTTGTCACATATAACAAACTTTAACCCAGACGGACTTGTTACTCTCGAGCCGCCACATACAACTGTCCATGCGTAAAAACAGGCCGACGGAGGAAGATACCAACCTTTTCCAATGACTGTCACTGGCTCTTATGAATGGTCATTGCATATTTGCATAGCTTATTTGTTTTTATATACTTTCGTAGTTGCATTCTTATACGGAAGAGTATACTCCCTCTGTATTTTTTTGTTCTCTACAATAGGGTTGGGCACAACACTTAAGGGCGAAATATTAGGGGTAATGAACAGTGTAGAAAAAGTAAGAGAGAAGATGGAAAAGTATGAAAGAGAAGATAAAAAGTAGGAAAAGTAAGGGTAATTGAGTATTTGTTAAAGGAAAAACTTACCAAAAAGGGAAAATGTAGCAAACTTTTAAATACATCCAAAAAAGGAAAGTGTATCAAACTTTAAAATACGGAGGGGTATTAAAAATTTCAAGGTGAACTTTTTATAAAAGTTAAAACCTTGATAAAATTATACTTTCTTTAATTTCAAGGGTAAAATATATTGTTATTTTGATAAATTTAATTAATTTTAAGGTGTAATAAAAATGATTAAATCTAGATAGGATAAAAAGAGAGGAAAAATTAGAGAATGCGGATCTAAGTAAAAATGATTCAATGGAAAAATTTGTTTATGTAAGGAAGTAAAATTCTAAATATCCTCATGATGAGAATTCAAAGATGAAGAATGATTTAGCTACCAAAAATGAAACAATTTAGAATGATCACATCATTGGAGGTGAGAATTTAGGAGTGAACAATAGACTTAATTCCTTAAATATCAGTAAAACATGGATAAATTGCACAAATAGGATTACCATGTTTCCTTCCTAAATAAGGATCACTAATGCTATAATATTATTTATTTAGATAGAAGAGAGTTTATCAGTTTATTTAAATGTTTTGAGGATTTTTTTGAACGATTATTATTATGCTTGTTAGTTTAGACCAAAAACGTTTTACAATTTTTCTAAAAGCAGGCCCATTTTATTTCTTCGCCCCTAGGCCCTCAAACATACAGGGCCGGTCTTGTTGATCTTTGTCAGCACTCAAAATATTCTTAATAAATAAAATTTACATATTTAGAAACGAAAATAAAAGATTAATAGTGATTTATGTTGACCAAATGAGTATGTTTTTACTTGGACTGAATTTTTTTGGTCTGATCTAATTTGATCTGATCTGATCTGGTCTAAAATAGTCTTTTGGTCTGGAACTAAAAACAGTCCATATTAAACAGAACTATTGAATTGTGACAGGAGGTATAGTACATAACTACGTATTATTAGAATCTTTTTTATAATCACCGTACAAAGCACACACTTGATAGAATCTTTTTTTATAATCACCGTACAAAGTACACACTTGATGAAATATACCACGTTTGAACTTTGAAGTCGTCGGATACAAAGTCAATATCCAAAAGCAACTTGTTGGTGTTGTGATCTGCCAGAACAAACCAAATTTGATCATATGATATTTCGTTACAAATGCTTGTAGATATCTGCAAGTTCCTAATAGTCTAATACCTTGTTTAAATTTCAATTTAGAAATTCTATGAACAAAATTTTAAGTGAGCATCACACATTCACACAATGCATCTTGTTGCATATGCTTCGGTTATGCCCACCAGTTAGCAAGACCAATACCAACAAACACTCAACAATATTTTAACCACAATCCACATACAACATATTGAGACCTCGAAATGATAAAAGATGTTTCTTGTGTTGATTTTTAGGTAACACGTCCTACGTGGATTATTATGTGCCACTACAAACACAGTCTTATAACAAATTCACAACAGCTGAACAGAAAAAATGTATACGTAACACTACCACAAGCATCTTAATAATATCACCTGAGATGAGCATAGCACATTGCGATGGAAAAATAAAACAAATTAAAAGAACTATAAATCTAGGAAAAACATTGCATCAGTGGAAACACTGTGACTCTGTGAGAGTGTGATACACAGTCGTCTGCCAGTCTACAATGCCGGAGTGGTTACTGACTCCTCTTCCTCAGCCTCCTCTAGCCACTTCACGAAGGGCTCCGGCGACTTCACAAATGATTGTCTGCCAATAACAATAATTGATTTTAATTACTCAGGTAAATATGTCCACAAAAACAGTAGTGAAGAGTACGGCTACGAAAATGGGGAATTAAAGGTTCACAACTTTACCTGCCCTTGGGAGTTGTTCTTTTGCATGTGGAACCAAGGAAGGATGGTGTCTTCAGCAAGGATATCCTGGTCATAAAGTAACCTTATGTTTTCAGGGAACAATTTCATCAGCTTAGCGTCCTCATAGCACTGCACTTGGACTTTGTATATCAGTTCCAGCTTCACGCTTGCGCAAAATGCTTTCAACAACTTAGCCCATGTTTACACCAATAAAAAAAATGAAGTAGAGCCTGAAATATATAAAAACATATGAGGACTTGAAGAAGATAAATCAAATTGGGTAGATGAAAAAATACCACATGACCAAAGTTATAAACAGAAATATTACACCAAATTCAACATTTCCACTACACATAACTCATATGCACAACCATGGCACAAGACATTGTTAGTGCAAAGCTAGTGACAATAGCAGTTTATGTGATAGCATATTATATTCCACTGCCACGGTGCCACCACACGGGTCATGATAGTAGCTACTGTCTGTTGCCACCGCCCACCAGAAACAATGGCTACTACTGTCCAGCGCCGACAAAGGCTTCCACTGTCCGGCGTCATAGCCTATGGCAGTTACTATTGTCCCATGCAGCCTCAGACAGTAGCTACTGTGTCCTAAATATGAAATGCTTTCAAATATGATAAGTCGGGACTAAATATCAAAGTCTAAGTATCAAATTATAAACAAAAGGTATTTCTTTGGACAGACATTTTAAAATTATTTACATGAAAGAATTGATCTTTCACTAAGTACTACCTTAAGACTTAAGGATATGTTTGGAATTTGGATGACAGAAAATGATAGGGAAAGGACAGAACGGCTAAGGAAGATTGATTTCTTTTCTTCCATACTTGCCCCATATTCTCCCTGTTTTCTTTCTATGTCATTTTCCAAAATCCAAACCGATCACTAAGTGACTCAATGATCACAAAAGGGAGATAATAACAAAAAGGGAAAAATGCAGTGGTAAAGAACACATGTTCATCAACTTAGTGAACTTGTGTCATTGATGAAACTGTGTTCTTTACCTCCTAAAAAGTATCTACACATTAGCATGAGTCATTGATGAACATAAAAAAAAGTAATTAAATACTTACAGCATCCGAGGTTGATTTCTTGTCAAAATTAATGGCCCTCAAAACACCAGACTTCACTGGTTGTTCTATTTCCAACTCATGCTCCATCTTAAGGGTGTAAATTTTGCTCTGGAAAGGAAATCAGGAAACAGTTAACCAAATATGGAGTAACATACATTGAATCTCATAAAATTAGTCTAAAATAAGCACAAAAAAGGATTAACAAAATACTCCGACTCTTCTAGCAAAAGTCATCACGAACTATTTATTCTCAGGCCCCCAACATTCATTATTTATTTAGCTAATAGTTTCCAAGTACCAAATTATAAACAAAAGGTATTTCTTTGGACATGTATTTCAAAATTATTTACGTGAATCCATTGGCCTATGTATCAGAACATTACACCTTTGAATCAACTGCATTGTGGAGTCCCAATCATTTGGCGCCATTGAATTAACTTTATCATACCCAATTAAAACCTTCAACACACACAAACACAGACAATATGTCATTTTTTGAATAATCTTATATTATTGTTATATTTTCAATAATCTGGGATAACATAATTACTACATAATAAGCAGCTTTCACTAAAAAAAAGGAATTTCAATTTTTGTGCTAGTTTCAGTGTTCATCCGATCCAATATAACATACAGATTGAACAGCTATGAAAAATTACGTGTTTATATTCAGGTATAAAATATATCAACATGTAAACTTATGCTAATAATTCCAGTAAATATAAAATACCTTAACTCACCCAAACATTGTTGTCTTTTATATCGGCTGCAGCTCCTTCTAGTGTTAAACCAAACCCCATTGGGAACTTGTTTAGCTACAAAATATTTGGAAAAGGAATTAGTATTTTCTCATCAGAATGAATTTCTTAGATTTGTAGTTGAAACCATAGGGATATACACCCTAATTAACTTTGGCCCCTGAAGTCTGAAGATGTTTGAAAAGGTAAAAAAATGGTAGGGAAAGTTACTTCTTATGTTTAGTTTGATTTTCAAGAAAAGAAAGACAACCCAAAGCAAGCTTCAATGTTTGATCAGAACACGAGATAGTAAAAAATTTAAAAACCTTTATAGTTCCTCTATTACTTTGAATATAAAAAAAGTACTACAAAACAACAAAATTAAATACAAAATCAATTAGTTTTAAATGAGGATAGAAACGCGGTTGAAGGCGGCTCATAGCAGCATCAGAAAACTGTCTGCTTCACCTTGTCTAAGAACACTGCATATTCTTCTTCATCTCCTGCAGGTTCCACCCCACTTCCTCCAGAGGCGATTGCTTTTAGTTCGCTCATCGCCTTCTGCTTCCCTCCCTCTCCTGGTCTGGACACTTGAGTGGATTTCCTTGGGCCTGAAATATCCTTTAAAATTAACTTTTTTTTATGTAAAGTATAATGATACATTTTAGTTTATAGAGTTTGATAAAGACCATTAGCTATTGAGCAGTACTCCAAATTGTTGTACAATCTCTTTGTTATAACTTCTACCGAGAGCTACGGAGTATTATTTTCCCAAACAATCAATACTAATGTGTATTATAATTTATTAACATTAGTCTTGATTAATGTTCTGTAGGAGCCCAATGTAGTCCTTGTTGTTTGAATGTGTGAACTTGATCCAGAAGTATTGTCATTCAGCAAAAGCATGGACTACCATCTTTCAAATTCAATTGGAAATTTCAATTTCTACATACACAATGGAGATGCAAAGCATGCCACATGTTCACTTTTGTGGGTGAAAAGGCCAGCAGCCATCAGCTATATGTTCCAGTAGCAAATTCTATTTAAAAAAATAGTAATGATTAATTAATGGTCTACTACTTTAGTATGAAGGTTAAACTAATGATTAGAAAACCAAAAAATCCACAACTGACACAAAGATTAATCTGCTCTTTGATACAAACAATATCAAAATACCAAATCCGCATTTTATAAACTTGCCACCAATTTGAAGAAGCGTTTGAAAACGCTTCTAGTTTTCCACTCTGCTAGATCTATAGCGGGTAAAGCCCTTCAGCCCTTAGGTATTCTCTTTTATTTCTCTGGGAAACCCATTAGAAAATTAACTTAAAAATAGGTACATATGGCATTTGGTCTAAAATTTCTGCTATTATATACAATAGAAGTAGGAAATAACTCAAATGTTAAAGTGCTCAACTAACTTGAAAAATAGAATCCTTATATGAAAATCTAACAAAAGTTTCAAGAAAATCTGGATAAAAAGAATATGTAGAATACACATTGAAGGCTTGAACTACATCCCAGTTTGAGATTTTTTATTCAAGGTTCCTTCATTTATTTCATACCTGAGTATAGAAGAAACACATAGAGCTTGAGAAGTTTTATGCCATATATAACTACTATTTTACGATGAAGGTTAAACTAATGATTATAAAACCCAAAACTGCACAACAGACACAAAATCTAGAGCACTAATTTAATAATAGGTTAGCAATTTTGGTCTTATTCTCACCAAAATTCAATTCTCTGTTTATCATGCTTAAGTTCAAGCAGTCATATTTCTTCAATTAAACCTGATCTCTAGTGATTATGTAAAAGAGGATCATAAAATAATCTTCTTGACACTCCTGATGATAAATATTAGAATTTCATAATTTTATTATTAATTGTTAAAATACAGGTAGTTTAGTTGTAAGCCTACAATATGACAAATATAGATTGCTAATCTTTCTCCATCATACTCACTTATTGTAACCACTTTCAGCGCACAGGAAAATACATTGATATACTTCCTCCCTCGCACATAGCTATATAAGAGTGAACAAACATTGATCGCTAATCTTTCTCCCAACTGTTCACCTACGTTTACCTCTTTCAATAAACATGAAAAGATCTTGAAATAATTTTTAGAAGGCTACAAAAAATGTATCCATTGTTATCCGGCCATTTCTAAAGAATAATAATAATTATACACATTATGACATCTACATTCAATTATAAACATAAGTGCGGTACCGATATAAATTAAAAGAAAGTCAATTTCGAGCTGAATTATTAACTCCAGTGTAATGCCAATATAAATTGAAAAATGTAACATTAAAGCCACCAAAACAAACTCTGAATCACCTTTTAGGAGAGTGTTGATTCCAGAGAGGTTTCTTCTTATGATTTAAGTAACACATCCATGTCCTTACTGTACATATAGGAAACCTCAAAGAAAGAAACGCGAGTGATGCAGAAATCTCATTGGAAAATTGGTGCACCAAGGGAAAATTTTGACATAAAACATGTCATTTTGAAATCAAATTCATTTTCAATTGAAAAGTAAGTAAAAATTTAAGAACCAGAATTTGCTCAATTGGCTAAAATTATATATACATTGGCATACCGAATAAGACACTCAAACTGGAAAGGGCATTTATTATATGTGAATATTGAAAAGTATAGGAATAAAAGTATAGGAATAAGAGAATCAAAGAACATATTCATACCCTTGAATTGCAGTATAATCTGCAAATGTATCATCAATCTTTCTTTTATTCATTCCAATTACAGTAGGTCCATCAACCTTATGTGCAATGGCATTATCTCCTTGCATGACAGGATCCCAAGATGAACAGGTTCTTCATCTCATTTGGGTTGATTTTGGATTTTAAAATGTCAGATCCATGTCCTAATGTGAACCCATTCTTGAAATCTTTGGTTTCCATCTCTGAAGTGAAACTAAGATTACCAATTTGATGGATTTGATTCCTTATCTTTGAACCCCACAATCCAAACTTGTCAGGCGAAAAGAGACTTCCTGAAATGGTTCCATATGGAAATTTAGATACTGAACAATTATAACCAAACCAAACAGCCCTGCTAACACTAAAAATAGATGACCATATAGAATCTGAATTTTCCTATTTGCCTATTTTTTTTAAGTTCACTTGCAGGCTGCTTAGAGTGACCCTTACTATTGATTTGGTGAAAACCATACTTGCTGAACTAAATTTTCTTACCAAACTAAACTTGCTTTAAAGATTTAGCCAAACAAATGAAAATTAAGCCGTCAAGAGATATGGTCTGAAACTCTGATAATTACAAATTCAGAGTTTAATCCTAGTACTTGAACAATCAGTAGAACTACTTGCATGATACAATGGAAAGAATAACACTGTTATAAGAACTAAAAGTAAAAATAAAAGTATTTCGTGGTAGATAAGGACACTTTTATCATCAATATTGCACACATGTATACATAAAGCCAAAATTGAATAACTAATCTATAAATAGATAAACCAAAATTGATCAACTGGCATTGATTAAGAAATGAAGGCATCAATCTTATTCTTGATGAACTTGAAACAAAATTGGAAATTTAAATCTGAAAATAAAGATTTGAAGAATACAGTATACCTGATAGAGATGAAAAATCGAGATGGAGTGCCACGCCTACATCTTCGCCGGTAAGAGAAGTGACGAAGGAAGCTCATATCTTCGCCGGTGATGGAATTGACGAACAAAGGTTTGGTCGATGGAAAGACCTTGATCGATTCGATAGGCTAGGGTGTGCTACCAAGGCTTGAGGTGTGAAGCTTGATGGATTCAAACTGTGAGAATGAATCTGGAGGAGAGAAAGGTGTGAGAATTGATGGATTCTTTCTGGCGAAGAAGAGAAAGAGAAGGCGGAAAGCCCGAGAGGTGTGAAATTACGCATTACACCTTAGCACACACTTGGGCGGGAGAATTATCTCTCTCCAGTGTAGTGCTTTTAGGTATAGGATGTTACTCCTATTAACGCATGAATGGTCAAACTTCTATTAACGTATTGAGATTTGAGAACATTTAGTACATGCGTATCTATTTGTAAGCCTAAAAATGTGCTACGTATAATTTTATTATCATTGTATGAATTTCACGATGCCCAGATTGTGATAATGTAATACTCCGTATGTTATAGTTTTATCTCATTAATAATTTAACTATTTCATTTTATCTTAATTTAATGGAATGACAATTTAATTTCACTTAATGAAATGTTTTATTTTCATCAGGCAAATTATATTTATTTTTAACAGATAAATTCTATCTTTTTATTTTTATTTATTTTACTTATTTCTATATTTTTACTTTAAATTTTCATGGTGTCACATTCCATCCTCCTTAAAAGCCTTGAAGTGGTTGTTATGGAGTAATGGTAGTATCCTTGAAGTTAAAGCCTACTCTATGGCGGAGGTAAGGGGTTCGAATCCCTGGATGCTCCTATTGTAACACTTGAGATTAATTTAAAAGGATTAATAGTACTACTCATACCAACAAGGTGCATCTCCTTTTAAGGGAGCTCATTAGCCAAGAACTCCAACGTTAAGCGTGCTTGCACGGGAGTAGTCTTGGGGTGGGTGACCCCCTGGGAAGTTTCTCAGGGCGCGCACGAGTGAGGACAAAGTGCGCGTAAAAGGCTAGTGGCGGTTTGTGAGGACAGTACTATTGGTCCGGAGTAACTACCTCGGGTCCCACGGGGCCGGGTTGTTACAATCGTCATCAGCATCAGCAGGTAAACCAACAAAATGCTCTCTCAACCAAGCCATCCTCAAGGCGGACCCCCGAATATCTGTCCCAGGGTGTGGCCGTACTCCCAACAATCTGTGTACCAAATCAACCCACAGTCTACATGCAGTCCCAGTAACTGCCCGACCCTCAATCGGTAGACCTGCCAATACAGCCACATCTCCTAATGTGATCGTGACCTCACCCACCGATAAATGGAACGTGTGAGTCTCCTGCCTCCAACGCTCAAGTAGAGCGGTAAGTAATGCTCTATCTATATGCAGAGTCGAAACTAATCTGTGAACACCTACCATAAAACCCAGCTAATCGAACGTAATGTAGAATCCTATCGTCCAGCCCCGTGTGGAATATACTGCGTAGGTGCTCACGACACCTATCTACCTGAACATCCAGGCCACGCCACACATCCTCGCTCCGGTGCGTGGCCTGTAATGTCAACTCTGAAGGATCAATCGGTCCGGGATCCACTGACACCTGCATCGGCGCTGTAAAAGTAATAAGTGTATTAGTTATTTTATTTTATTATTAAATTAATTTTTTTTTTTAATATTCCTAATGCATTTGTGAATAAAAGAACAACATTACCCAGTGGAACTCCCTACGTGTCCCTCCGATCTTCTAGCACATGTCGTCCTGTTATGCCCTGTTTGCTTGCATTTACTGCATCTCACAGTACCTGTAGGGCCTTCATCCATTTCATTTCTCAATCGTTTAGCCTTCGGACGACCTTTAGCGCGAATCATCGATGGGTCATGCACAACTCGTGGGCCAGTGTAAGTAGGTCGATACGCTATATCTGGTATGGGCTTAAATACTCTTTTATAGGAAGCAGCATACTCCGATGATGAAAAAAATATATCTACAAATGGATCATAGGACAAACTACGGTCTCTGCATACTTTTCTGGGTGTATTGGCTGAAGTTAATGCAGATGACCATTTTATTTATTTTTTCTTTTTCTTTATTTTCTTAATAAATTTTTTTTAAATACGGAGTATAGTTTTTTCATAAATAAGCAGATCAGCCAATACAGTAACTTCATTCAGAACTTCATAAATTTCAACAGAATTAGTTGATTCAATTGATTTGAGTTTTATCAAACGTGCTCTTAATGTTGGGCGGTGGATTAATGTTTGGTCAAAGTCAAAGTTGACGACCAACTTAATCCATCTGTCAGAAGTTTGGTTGATTTCCATGTCAACTTGATCGATTTGAAAATATTTCAAAAAATATAATATTAATAAATCAATTCATTTAAAAATGTATATTTCAAAGTTGATTGATTTGTGGGGCCTATTCAAGATGCAAGCAATGTGGCTAACCATTAGACTATCACATGGATTAGCTAGAAAAAAAATGAGGTGGCAAGCAAACCTACCTTTTAGCTAATACAGTATGCTCTAATCACGCTAATTTAAACGCAGCTCGAGATCTTAATGAGGAGTTTGTAACTCTGCGTGCTTACAATTCTAGGCTGCTTTTGATCTAATGGCTATTCATCCTCCTCTTCGAAGCAGAACTACGTCGGATTTAATAAGTCAACTGCCAGAAGATGTAAAGCACATAATATTAGAGTGTCTAGATACTCGTGAAGCGGCCAGAACTGCTGTTCTCTCCACTTTATGGAATGATGTTTGGTTGCGACATGGCCGGCTTGTCTTTGATAAGGTTTTATTAGGAGAAGGTGAAGGCGTTAAATGTTCGAAAATGATAACTAATGCTCTGATACTCCGTTCTGGACCGGTTAATAAATTCACTCTGGACACTTCCAAATGGCAACCTGCTCTGCAGCAGTGTGATTTAGATATGTGGTGTCGTTTTCTATCCAGAAATGGTATTGAGCAACTTAGCCTCGCTGTTGATGCTCTCACCCGCACAGGAGATAAGTACACACTACCTGTTTGTATAATTTCCTGCCCGACAATAAAAAAACTGCAACTTGATTTTATTGATATTTGTTTGCCGGTCAGTCCTCGACCTGGTAGTATGTTTTCTGGTGTTACCTCTTTAGAGTTCAATTGCGTTGAGTTTTACCGTGATAATAGCCCTACAGTTATCCATCTTATTCCTTATCTTAAGGTGCTAGTGTTCTTGGATTGTCATTATATAGATAACTTCTTGATCAATGCTCCAAGACTTAAATACCTCAGCTTCATCGATACTCAGATCGTGTTACAATGGAAATGGTTTGAGCCTCATTTTCGAGTCATTAAGACTCTTTGCTTCTGTGCGTATACATTTTTGGTGAGAATCATGCCTTTCGTAAAATGTTGCACCATTTATAAAGAATAGCCTCGATTCATCTGATTTTTCTCTTGCTTTCTTTTTTCTTTGACTGTATAAAGTATAACATTCCTGCTACGATAAATATGCAAGAGAGGCTTCCAATTGCTCAAAATCTGCAAGTGATTGAGCTGCATGATTTTAGTTTTGCTCACACGAATTGCTTCACTCTTGTTATTCATTTGCTTCGGAAATGCCCAAAGCTATGCAAATTGGAGATAATTATTATAAAGCCTGAGGTGGTAATATCCAACCAATTACCCTACGTTTTTGGTGATTAAGATTGAGATATTTATGTTCTAATATCTTTTAAATTCTTGTCTTGTAGTCATATCAGAGTGGTGAAGCCGATCCATGTATTTTGAGAGATCCGGACGGTTGGTTTCGTGATCAGGATCTCAGTGACCTTAGAACAGTCGAGATGAAATCATTTAGTGGATTAAGACAGGAAATGCTCTTTATCAAATTAATCCTATCAAAAGCTCCCTTCCTTGAGGAAGTTTTAATTACGGAATCAGTTGACATTGATACCTCTGTGTCTTTAGAGGTACAAAGGGAGATGACCTCCTTCCCTCATGCATCTCCAAAAGCAAAAGTTGTTTTCATGGCCCTAGCTAGGGGCTGCTCTATTCCCTGAATATTAGGCATTTGTTGCCCTCTTTAACGGGCGTCTCCATTGGTTCTGCTTGCATATGATCTACACAAATTCTAAGACCTTATGGTGCAATATATGGTGTGGCATCCAATTTTCTTACATTTTATTTTGTGACTTATGGGTTCTTCCATTTCATAACCCCATTTAAGTCACAAGTTACATAATAAGTTATTTTATGACTTATAGATTCTTCAATATTCATGGGAGCTTTGAAACCAATGTGCATGGGAAACTGAAGCGCTCGTGAAGTGACATTTGGTAATATAACCACATTTAACTCACAGGTTACAATGTTTTACTTCTTGCTTATGGATGAGCGCAGTTAATATATGCTACAGAGAAGTAGAACTCTACTGGATTTGCTGGATTATCTGCCTTTGTTGTTGTTGCATTCTATCATCATTGTGGGATTGTACTGTTTTTAGTCTGTGTTTAGAAAATAGGTTGTATAAGCTGAATAATGGGAGCTAGGACTGGGACCGGTTCGGTTCTTACTCAAAATGAGTGGAACCGTTATAAAAGTTTTAACTAATGAAATCGGTTCGGTTCCTATATAAAAAATCAGGAACCGTTATGGAACCGAACCGGTAGTAAACGGTTCGGTTCTTCCTTTTACCGGTTCCTAGAATAATTTTTTCTCGTCTAAGAATTAACACATAATTTTAAACACGTCGAAAATTCAAAACACGAGTATTAAAATTTTATTTGAAGCTCTAATCACTTCAAATGTTAAAGCTCAAACTTAACTAATGAACTTTGAACACTTAATAGAACAAAAGTGATTTAAATTTTCATGTAATAAATGAAACATTAAAAATCGTTGTAGTGTCGGAGCGATGAAGGTTACTCGTCATCATAGTAGCAAGAATAGGACACCTACTTCAAGTCTTTCAAAACATTAAAAAAAGACATTGAGTTTGCATGTATAGATATAAAAAATATTATCACATTCTATTGATTCATAATAAATCTAATAATTAGAAATATTATAAAAATAGTAAAGTAAAATATGTGCAATCAACTACAAGTTATTTGGGTTATTTTATATTTATAAAATTTATGTGATGGAACAAAAATTGATTTGTAGAAAGGAGTTTAATGTATATATCAACCTCATGTACAATATTTATTACTTCTTTTCCGTTGATTAAATTAGAATTGTTAGTTAAATATCTTATATTGTTTTATTATTGTTGTTGTGGTGGTGGTTATTATTGCTATTATATTATTATTATTATTATTGTTACTACTACTACTACTAATATTATTTTATTTTTTATTTTTTTAATAACGGTTCCTTAACGGTTCCATGCACATATTTTTTATAGGAACCGGGAACCGAACCGTTATAACCCGCTTCGGTTCGGTTCCTACAAATGAGGCATTAATTGTTAACGGTTCGGTTCCTAGATGTTGTTAACGGTTCGGTTCCAATCGGTTCTACGGTTCCCAGTTCCAAAATCCCACCCCTAATGGGAGCTTTATAAAAGTCTGAGTATATCAATGCTGATATAATCATGTGAGCATACTCCGTAAGTTACTCAAGTCAAAAGATTTTAACAGTTGCAGAACAAGATAAATATTATATTATGTCTCTTACCTCCTTAGCAGGAGGGGGGTGAATTCTGTTTGTCTGTGATTCCTCATTTTATGCCTCCATTCCATATACTCGGATTGATCCGCAAACTACTCAAGAACTGGTCTTAGGTTTTAGGGGATCTTTGTCTTTGCCTCACGGTTGTGTATTGCGCTTTAATTGTTGTTCTTGTGTGAACCATGACTTGATTTATGAGAACCAATCGCCTTTCCCCCCAAACCAGCCATTTCTCTATTAATAGTGTAATTGATAAGCAATATATTCAGCAATATATTAAGCAACTCTAAATTGACCCCTTAAACTTCTTATTGCGATTACTAATGCTTGACAAGGATAAAGTTACTTTTTCCTATGAGCACTTAACTATGTGCACAAAATTGTAAATACCAAACTTGAATATGACAAAAGTCAGATGCTTATATTTAGAGATTTAGGAGTTAAGCTTGGGAATAAAGGAAGTAATACTCTTGCTTTTATAAGTTTCTGGCTTTTCTCACCTGAACTTAAACGCAAATAAAAGGTATATGCATTAGATGGAAATAATACAACCAATACAAATTTATTTCTTTTTAAATGGTGTAGACATCTACTAATATATAAAAGGAAAAGATTTCTTGGAATGAAAGTTGCCGCTCAAAAACATCACTGTCAGGTGGGTCAGCTTCCTAAGTTGCAAATAACTATAAACAATATTGAAAATAAATAGTTATACGTGGGTGTGAATGTCTAATAATGTTATGGGTGGGCATAATTTCAGGAACACTGTTTCGTTATTGCAATTTCAATTGGTGGCTTGAAGAGGTGGGTACAGTGATAGGATGATGTGTCGCTATCATGGATATTTGGATGATTTTTTGTTGAAAAAAATTAGGCGTGTTTATTTGGTCAAAATAATTGAAGCTGATTTTGGATAAGAGTTTGGGTGACTCTTAAATGGATTCAATTCTAATTGGTGGATGAAGAGGTGGGAACAGTAATCTAGATTTAGAATATCTTATGTAAACTATACTACATATTTCTCTATGAAGAGCTTCCACAAATTTAAAATCATCATTTAAGATCCGCTTTTCATATTTTGATGGAATATCAATAACTCATTGTTTTAATATCTGCAGAGCTCAAAGATCCATCTCACATTCCACATAAAAAACGTGTTGTTTTAATGAAGTTTTTCTTATTTTCTGTATATTATATTTCATATTTTGATGGAATATAAAAAACTCATTGTTTTAATATGTACGGGGCTCAGATCCATCCCGCATTCAATATTAGTTCATTGTGTATAGCAGTTTAATTAATAGATGCAATTGGATGCTATTGGAGGCTTAAATAGATGCTTAAATAGCAGTTTAACCTCTTTTGGCTGAAATATGCCTTTTAAACCTTGGGAGAAGAGTTGGAGAAAATTCATTCAAATAAAATTGGTACAAGAGTTTATAAGGCAGATTGATAACATGCGACCGAAACAGAACATTAACATACACTCATATACAAGCAAATTTATGGGTCACACATGTATACATAGCCATAAATACCCTTTACTCACCGGAGAAGGAAAGGCCCTGGCCCCTACTCGCTCTTCTCTGAAACTTAGAGCGGGGGAGGAGGAGGAGAATGAGGCATTAAGGCAAACGAGTCTTTCAAGATCTCGGATTCATGACTGACGGCTGAAATAGTAAAATGTTGCCGGAGAATCTGTTAAGACACGGGGTTCCATCCTAAAAGGTCAACCTGATAGGAGGAGTAGCCCGAAGCTTAATATAGCACTCTAGTGCTTCTCAATTTTCCGGTGTGGGACATTTAACACCCCTCCTCACGACCAGACACTTCGTCTGGATCGTGTCGTCATTCATTTTTTCATCGGTTCGTCAATTTTTTTTTGTCGTGTCGTCATTTTTCATAAGGGGCCCCACACCATGGATCGATTTGGCTCTGATACCATGTTAAGACACGGGGTTCCATCCTAAAAGGTCAACCTGATAGGAGGAGTAGCCCGAAGCTTAATATAGCACTCTAGTGCTTCTCAATTTTCCGGTGTGGGACATTTAACAGAATCGGTGTGAAGAGAGGGCTCCGTGACTGAAATTTGACAGACCGACTGAATTGTCGGTACTCGGTAGACGTCTTTGGGTTGTATGTTGGTGTCCTTGGTTGGAGAGGGGCTGCCCAGGATGGACGATTGGGTTGATCCCTTGCTGGGGAAAAGGGAGGTTTTTCCTTCTAGCCTTCTAGAAAGGACTCATAGGTAACAGGCTGCTCATCCCAGGCCCATTTAAATGGAAGGAACGGACTGCGGATATATGGTTGCTATGTACTCACCAATGTGTTACTTATACGTAGTACTACCTCCGTTCTCCTAAGTTTGGGACAAAGGGTGTGGTGCAGTTTTTAATAAAAAGTAGAATTGTGTGGTTGATATTAAATTGATAAAGTGTGAGTAAAGTAAGAATGAATTGTAATCACCCAAATATTACCAAATATGGTATGAGACAAACTTAATGGGACTGAGGAAAAAGGTAAAACGGAACAAAGTTAGGGGGACGGAGGGAGTATTTGTTTAAGAAAAATACTCTCTAAGGTGTTATTTAGATTATACTACGTAATAGATTAGAATTTATTGAATGGGTTCTATCAATGTTAAATTTGACATAATCTAATTAAACTTATTGCATTGACAGAATTTACCGAATTATAAAAAATTACAAATCAAAAGTAATTTACAAATAGAAGACTAAAATTACTATGGATGTAATGTTATTGTCACTTGATGTGAAAATTGGACAAAAACAATATGACTGAAGATAATGTTGTAGTCACTATACTTAAGAAGTCACATTTTCATAAGCAAACTTTATTTTAATCAAAATTATTTAATTATTTCGAAAACATTATATGCATAAATACCTAAATTTGACCTCTACATTAGTAGATGACCTATTTGAACATTTTCGCCTAAATTTATACTTGAGCATAATTTATGAATGACATAACATATTTTCACATATTTACACATCTCCTGATTTGCCAGTCTACAAGAGCAATTCGTATAGATGTAAAGTCACACTATTACTTGATCATTATAAATAATTTTATAATATGAAAAAATTCTTTGCTTAATTTTCTGGAATAAAGGATTTTAACAGGGATTAGTGCGAGACAAAAGGTTTTAAGGGGTGTTTGGAACTGATTTTGCTTCTACTTCTTTATTAAAGCAAAAGCAGAATCAAAATCAGTTTTCAGAAGCTGATCACCTCAGCTTCTAAAGAAACTAATTTTAGGAGTAAATTGGAGTACCAGAATCACTTCTGCCCTTTCACTCAAACACTCCAGTTTTAAGAATCAGATCCAAACACCCCCTAATTCTCAAGCATTCTTAACACCTCCATATATTAGCTTGTCATTCCAATATATTTTAGATGTAATAACACCCAAACATGACTTATCATGTCATGACTATAAATAAAAGTGAAAAAACGGTCTTATCGTGTGTTGGTTTATTGTTAAGAACCCCTGTTTTATTAACCGGCGTTTTCAGCCCACATCTGCAATTATCAGCGTTTGTAGGGTAAGAAACATAACATTTTTGCTCCACACGCTGATACCCAAACAAAGCCTTTATGTGGTTGTGTGAAGAGTGATTATTGGTGAATCATATTGTATATGTTTCATTTCACGTCAACGTTTATTATTGTAAAAAATAAATTCGTAACGATTTAACTAAAATGACAAGTTTATTTTTTATCAAATTTAATTAGAGTCAAATTCACAAACCGTGCGATGCACGGCCGGAGAAAATTAAAAGTATATATGGAGTATATTTTATACTCACCGGTTTTAAGACGTAGTACTCAAAGGTTTTATACTCTTGAGGCATAATTCTATAGTATCTACAATTTAGAAGTACGTATAATTAAGAAATTTAAAATCGTTTAGTTAAGCAATACAATATGGTGTAATTGTTATTTTGTAGATTAGGATAATACAGAGAAAGAGGATTTATAAATGAAGTAGCTTTTATTGGAAAAGTAACTTCGGAAACTCAATTTTCTCATTCTGACTTTGTGATTAAAAAGGTGATATTGTGTTTTAATTTTTAGATTACCTAGAGAGGAGTGGTGATATCATGATTAATGTCATTAAGTGGTACAAGGTTTTCGATGTTGGTATATGTTATTGGAGGCATTTCAAAAAATAATTTGAATTTTCATCTCCAAACATGATTTATTTTACATAGGGATTATCTCATTTTACTCCATATTTTACAACTTTCTCACTTCACAACGCTTTATGATAAAAAATATTAATAACTATTGAAGAAAGTATCTCAAACCGCGCATTCCTACACCGTGCATCGCGCGGGTGAGTTACTAGTTTGGGTGTAGAAGTAGAACAATGTTTTGTAAAATGGATGCTTCGAGTAAGGGGCAGATCAATTAAGTGGTCTGGGAGGGCATAATTCCTTACTCATTATATTAGTGACTGGATTATACAACCCTTACATTATTGTATGTATCATAAATTAATAAAGAAAAACCGAAGGTAGTATACGATGGTCGATGAGTCATGAGTGCAAGGCAGATTTAGATTTATCATTAACAATGCCCGAATTAGGGAGTGTTTGCATATACTTAAAAAAAAAAGTGATTCTTGGCTTTTAACTTAACATAAGTTGAAAAGAGTGTTTGCAACCTATGTTTAAAAAACCGACCCAACCCGGCCGGGTTGACCCGGACAAAAATCCGGTTCGGTTTCTTCAAAACCCGAAAATGGTCAAAAACCGGAAAAAACCGGCTGACCCGAAAAAACCGATCCGGACCCGGACCCAAGAAACCCGAAAAAAACCCGGGAAACCCCTGTTTTCAGTCTTTTCCAAAAAAAAGTAATTTCTTTTTTATTTTAATGCATTTTTTTAACCAATAAAATTGCAATTTCAATTCCCTAAAAAGAAAAACTATGTAATATATTTATTTAAGAATGAAAATCATGCCAAATTATAATATAAATGTACAATACAAATAAAAATATATAATGAGAGTGTATATAATTATATGTTTATTATTATTAATAGACGTATAATCGTTGACCGGTTTTCCGGCTTTGACCGGGTTGACCCTCTGGGTCCGGGTTGACCCGTGACCCAGTCACATGACCGGGTCGCTCACCGGTCCGGTTTTTACAACATAGTTTGCAACTTCCAACTTTTACTTAAAAAAAAAGCACTTCAAAGCTAAAAGTTAAAAGTTGGTATATACCAACTTCAAACTGCTTCTAGGCATTTACGTAAATAAGTCCAACTTTTAGGATTATTCTAATGCCAAAAAATTGATTAAACCAAGATTACCCCTCTGTCCCACAAACCTGCGTACTGCCCCCCCCCCCCCCCCCCCCCCTTCTACGCAACAAGCATCTTCCGGCCAAGTTACTACCAGCAGACGGCCAAAATTTAAAACCAGCAACATGAAGGAGAAGCTAAGAGATTCTTTCATATCTGATTTTCAAACCAATCAACTATTGGAAGGCTACAATGTAACCAGATCTGCGCATAGGAGACTTCAATGGACGAAAACTGGTGGAGCTAACCGGCGACGCTTGCGCCGGGTATTACTACGGTGCTACCGGTGATTGGGTCTTCCGATGGCAGTGATGGCTCTCCAGTGGTGGTGATGGCTTTCCTGCCGGCGATTTGGTCTTCTGATAATCTGATGCATATGTTGTCTTCCGATGCATCTGTTGATGTAGTTTACAAAATACTTCGTACTACGTATTGTTAAGGGTGTATCTGTAATTTATCAAAATATTATATCCCAAATCACTTTTTTATCACACTCCAACTTTTACCTTTTAACAAAAATCACTTCTATTTCCAAACACTATCTACTTTTCTAATAATCTCTTAAAAATCACTTTTTAAAAAGTACAAGCAATCGCAAACACTCCCTTGATTTCGTTATATTTTTCTATAGGCCAACACTAAGGGTTCAACATACATGTCAACATAATAAATACATAATGACAGTGTCTGGTGTCAAGCAAAGAGAAGGTGGAGTAATTCCAGCTGCAAAACCAGCAACAAACCTTTGTGGTTTAAAGTTAAACTCATGCACATTTTTCTTAAATAATATAATCGTGTTAGTGTAAAAATAAATTTTATTTCAATAATTATAACGTATTCAAACTTATTACAATTTAGACTAATAAATATTAGCTATGTTTATTCATTTTTTGTAATGAAAAAGGGCCTAAATATGTTTTTCGTCCGTATAAATATGACACTTTGTTTTAGATTCTGCAATTTTTTTGTTATTGTTGGTATAGTTGTCCTTTGTAGCATTGCGTCATCCTTTGTAGCATTGCGTCATCCTTGTGAGATTTGTACTATTTTTAAACGTGTTTAGAAAATAGGCTTTGCATTGATCAAGGATTGAAACCTGCTGCGGCTGGACCCAAGTACAAGGTCTACTACTATTGTACTGACTGAGTCACCGTGACATACAACCTCTCAAATGCATTGTCGGTCGGGGCGTGGGGATCCTTTGAGATTGGAGATTCAACCTGGAAGATAGAAAATACGAGTAGGTTTTACAAGTTGAATATGATAGTGGACAAGATAAAGAGTTTGAAGATAAAGATAGTGAACAAAAATGTTTAGGTACCTTCTTAGGATGGGGATACGTACTGTTTGTCTTTCACTCATCATTTTATGCCAATACTCCATATACTCTAATTTATCCGCAAACAACTTAATATGCGGTCAGGTTTTAGGGCATTTTGCAACACTTGTTTCGAGGTAAATGATCTCGTCTCTACCCTAAATTATCAAGCACAATGTCTCCAAAGTGGATGTCAGATTCCATTTTCTAAAATAAAAACTAAGAGCCCGTTTGGAGACATCTTTTTCGGCTTATCAGGCTTATCAACCAACTTTTTCACCAAACACGTAACTTTTACTTTCGCGCGCTGGATTGTGTAATAAGCAGAAGAAGTAAGGTTGAAGTTACTTTTCTGGCTGTATTGGCTGAAGTTACTGTAGATGACCATTTTAGCTATTTTTACATATAAGTTTTTCTTTATTTTATTAATAAAATATATTTTTAAAATATTTTTTCTTGAATCAGCAGAATCAGCCAAAACAGCCACTTCAGCCAGAACTTCATAAATTTCAGCAGAATCAGCCAAAACAGCCGATTTTGGTGCTACCAAACGGGCTCTAAAACTACCAAATACGTAGTATATGACAAGAAACCAGTAAACTGTTATGAATTAAAATAACATTGCATGAAACAAATTAGTTAAAAGAGTTGCATAAAACCGACTCCAACGTGCATAAAATGATTGTAGAAATACGGAATTATTGGGACATCCCAAAGCCCCAAATAGACACTTTTGTGTAGTAAAGTTATGAGTTTTTGTGAGGCAAATATGAGTGCTTAAATGATTTGAGAAAATGATAAGAAATTGTTGGGTTATTAAAATATTACTTTTAGCAGTATTCCGAATATTATCTCAAATACTTTGGTTAAATACTCTTATTTGGTGAGTAGTGTTCAGTAAAAACATCGGCTATGAGGCCGATTAGCCCTAGCAAATCCTTGGGCCTCTCATTTTTTATGGGGCCTCTCATTTTTAGCCGCATTCGTTATAAATATTTTAATTTCATATTTATAATTTTTTAAAATTATATAAAGAATAAAAAAAATAGGAGTTTCCACTAAGGTATGGACCCAATCCGGTCTAAGACCGACCGGTCCTTGCCAAAGAAAAGAGAGGCATGGGACCGGCCCGCTATATAGCGATCCCAAATCAGGTCGAATAGACCGGCCGGTCCGGTCCCGGGTCAATCAATTTATTACGGAGTATTATTATTTCAAACTGCCCAGCCATTGGGAACCGTGCCGGGTCAGAGTCCAGCCAGGCACCCAAGACCAGGGAACGAAGCCCGGGGGCAGTCCTGGACCGTAGCTGAAAACTTAGTACAGGGCTGGTCCTAGACTCCCAAACACTGTCGGACCCAATTCCGGCTCAATCGAGACCAAAGGACCAAGTCCACCCCTAGCTTCGCTTTACCAGAATGGATGAGAAAGTAGCATTGTGAATTTCTAATAAGAGAACATTTCCACATTCAAAAAAAATGAGAACATTTCCTTGGGAAAAGGGGCAAATAAGGCCATGTACTAACCAAAAAAGGTCAAATAAGGCCTTTTTTAGGAGGCTCTGTCCGGCCGTCGCCATTTGGAGCAGTTCCCGGTGGAATTTTTTAATGAATTTTTTTTAGCATCTTATTCATTAAGTCTAGTTTACTCATACCAAATTTCAGCTAAAACATCAATCCGGAAGGCATTCAAATGAATTTTTGAAGATAACTGCGCAGTTAAAAGCGCAGTTATCTTCAAGAATTCATTTGAATGTCTTGCCGATTAAATTGTTAGCTGAAATTTGGTATGAGTAAACTAGACTTAATGAATAAGATGCTCAAAAAATTTCATCAAAAAATTCCATCGGGAACCACCCCAAATGGCGACGGCCAGACAGAGTCTCCTAAATAGGCCTTATTTGACCTTTTTTGGTTAGTACGTGGCCTTATTTGCCCCTTTTCTCCATTTCCTTCCATGTAAAAATTATTAGCGTCATAGACTCATAGTTGTTCCGCTGACATACAAATAAACCATGTACAACGTTTTTTGTACTATACTGTAATTATAGTGTTATTTTCAAATTATTTGAAATTTAAATATCATTACTGCAAAACCAGTTTGATTAGAGAGTTTGTCAGGACTCAGGACTCAGGAGAATAAAACACCATAAATCCATCATCCTATTCTTTTCCTTTGTAGCAATTTTTTTAAAATAGCAACGTTCTATATTCCTATAACATCATCCCAGGACTCCATTCACTTCACGTCCCATAAACACTTTCCACATTCCAACTAAAACGCTTGAGATCGCTGTAACACAACCATTAGACATCTTAGCTGGGGCAGAGTAATAAGAGTGCCACCAAAGATTAATTGTCATAACAACAAAAATCCAAGAGCATCATCACAAATATTTTCAAGCACAAAGATCCTCTTAGCAAACATAAAACACAGCATATCTGTATTTGGCTGGAATGTAACTCCGCACACTGCCACTGCCTCATGCATTCGACAACCCAATCATGTCCGCTCTTCCTCCCATCATCCTCTCTGCCTTTTCTCCCCTCTCCCCTAAATTTCAGAAAGATAGACGCAGATCATTGTTTTTGTTTTTGGAAAGCACTCTTGAAAAGTTGAGTGATAGCATGAAGTGATAGAGAGGGCAAGATTCTTAGAAGCTGCATGTGTGTGTGTGTATTATACTTCGTATATGGTAAGGACGGTGTAAAAACTAAATAGGATGCACTATTGGTTGCTTACCAGTTCGAACTCTTATCACATCTGCAACAGGGATCACTGCGGAAGCAACATATTAAGCTTATAATAAGCACTTCACATTCACAGTTCTTTTAACTACATAAATAAGGGAATTACATCTTCGATCACCAAAAGTATTTAAGTTGCACACTTTCAGACGGTGTATAAATTATTCATCATCTATCTATCTGAGGTTTGAAGAGCCACTTTCAGTTCCCTTTGCTACTTTATCGGTTTACCCTTTTATTGAATTTTATTCATTTAAGATCGCTTTCATTTAGCTTTAAGTGTTCTATTATAAAAGAATATTTTATTTGAACAACGTTGACCGAGGAAGAAGCCTAAAAATATACAAAAAAAAAAATAAAAACGTTAACAGTTGAACTACTAAATACCAACTCAAGATTTTCATATTTAGAAGTCCAGAAAACCACAAAACATTAACACATCAAGATATCACACAGCATAGTTCAAGATGAAATTTAAAAACATACAAATTTCCTTAGGGGTAGTGAAATATAATGTGAAAAAATAGAAATAGTACAAAAGAGAAATTCAAAAAGTAAGGAGATAGCTGCCTTAAACGGATACGGGGCAAGTACTAATAGTAAACTTCCATGAAAGGTATATGTAGCAACTAAAAAACAGAGGGAAAGTCGAAACTCTTACAGAAAATTTTGCCATCGCCAATCTCGCCAGTCCTAGCTTCTGAAATTATCTTTTCTATGACTACTTCAACCTAAGAGAAGACAACATGAAAAACTAATATTAGGCCTGCCACGCAGAAAACATCATACACACACATATATAGTCGCAAATTAAACATTTTGATTCCCAAACCTGGTCTTTGCTGATGACAATCTCCATCTTAACTTTTGCCAAAAAGTTGTCCTCAGAAAATTCAGAACCTGAACAACAAATCATGAACAATGCTACTATGCTCCCAACCTTGACCCACCCACTGTTTGACACCAATCACATAAAAAAGGTTTATTATATCATTGCATTCACTTGAACCAAATATCTAGAGTCTTTGAATGCAAGGGTATAATAGACCTTTTATGTGCTTGGGGTCAAAGGTGGGGTCAAGCTTGAGCTCATAGTAGAGTTGTTGCCAAATCATAAACATAGGTACTGAGGTTCTAAAGAATATAAATATATACTACTAGCATTATCTAACAATGTGAAGTTGCAGAATATTTTTTAATAATAATAGTAACAACAACCAATCAAATAGAGCTGTAGAAGCATTTTATAAATCCAAGCAAATATTGATCTCACCTGCATGCCTCTCTGATGATCCACCTTGAGCGCCAAACCCCCGAACATCAGAAATGGTTACACCACGGATTCCAATTTCCAGAAGTGCCTTCACATTTCACAAGTTCATTAAGTGAAACTCATTTCACTTGTAGTGCAAAAGATAAACCTCAAAAGAAACTATAGGCTATACTATAAAAAACGTAGTTGGATATGATCATCATGGATCCCGTCCATAATCAAAGATGTACCATAAGCGCCATTCCCTAATCTTATGGCCCCAGTCAAACCATATCATAATCCATATCCAGAAGAATATCAGTCAATTTTTTAGAGTCCAAGAGGGATTCCTGCTCAAATGCATGCAAGGGCATGGGAACAAAAGGCTTGTTTCCTTAGGGGGCTTTACATGCCTAAAACTACCATTGCAAGGAATAGTGCTGCTTATATGTAATACGAGGTATAATGATCTCTAGTTCTCTACCATACCATATATACCCCTTTTGTGGTCCTTCTGAGTATCCGACTATAGGGGTCTCAATGTAAATAGTGTCCTTGGTTATGCCATAATAGTTTTTTATTGAAGAAGCAAGGAGAAAAAATTACTTGCACCTATTGTGTTCCTTAGTGATGCAATGACGGATGACAACTTTCATATTGATGAAAAAGAAATAACAAAAATTTACAAACAGAAATATCGAGGATGAGATGTTTTCACTAAGAATCAATACAAAAGTACATAAACCAATATGGCAAAAATCAATGTGTGTACACCAAGTAGAGTGTCTCCTGAGTCACTCAATCTAACTGGACATATAGGCTACTCGACACCCTACTCCAGCCGTCCAATTTAACTCACGTTAAAATAGGAACAATACATTAGCAGCTAAGTAAACATGTCCATGGAGTTACAAAAAAAAGTATGACCAAATAACCAATGCAAATCCTAATAAATAGATACTTGAGATTGAATGTCAACCAATTAGTTCAAGAAGAGCCTTGCTCACAGATAAAAGCATTTTAAATTCATAGATGACTTGAAATAGCTCTTACCGAAGAAACTTTTTGGACCCTCCACGGTCTATGACAGTATTAGGTTCCAAATTCACATGAGAAATAAGATAGGGTGTTAGCAACGAATAACTCATCCAATGAATCCAAAGCATAAGAATAAACAAATGTAAGCTTTTTCTTTTGATTTGAAAAATCTAAAAAAACGAGGTTAAAATAATTAGGGAACAGACTATTTCACCTGAGAATTGCCTCCACCTTGTAAAATTTTGCCTCTGGTACGTATTCTGTATGATAACAAACAAAGGAATCAAACATACCACTCAAATAAACATCCATCCGCCCACAACAGGCGCCGCCCCGAAACTAAGCAGTAATAGTTGTACAGATAGGTTTACCGTGAAAGGATTGAGCTCTGACGATCGGGAAATGGGACGCCGGAGAGGATCGCCCTTTGAGAGTGAGATTGCTGCGTGGAAGAGGGAAACAGTGGGTGAGATTGGTGCGAAGCGATGAGAACCGGAGAGGAGCAGCAATGGTTGAGTGATGGGAGTCCCGGAAACGAGTGGAGTTGAGAGTTGCAGAGGAATTCAGAGCTGAGGAAGACGCCATTAGAATCGAGCGAGGAACGGTGGAATAGCTACTGGGGAAAACTGGAATGGAGAGTGAGATTCTGAAGGGAGTATTTAGTTAGTGGTAGCCTCTAAGATTGCCATGTGGACTCTGTTGCATCACCGATGCTGCACTTGTAAGGTAAACCTGTCTTGTTGAGCATCCGAATTTTGTTCAGAAATGCTAAAATAGTCACCTTTCACACGTAGGTCCAAAAATAATTTTATTCCTCATCTTTATCCTCTCCAAAAGAAATACCCGGTAGTCCCATATTCTTTCTTTTTTATGTTCTTAGTTTAATACCACCAAGGATGTTTTTAGTTTGACTATTTTCAATTCCAAATTGGATCGGACCAGATATAAACAGACGAGATCAGACTTCCGTAGTTATATAAAACACAGAGACTACACGCTTACCAGAACATACAAGACCAATTTGAATCAGATCAGATCAGACTTAAACAAATCAGACAAAAAAAATTCAGTCAAAGTAAAAACATCCTACATGTATTTCCCTCCGACACACCATTTATAAGTTTCTTTTCTTACCCCTCCCTCCTTTTCATCTCTCTTTCTATGACAAAACTTTCGCTCTCACTTCTTTTTTGAAAGGAAATTGGCATATTATATTAAATTAAACTTTCAGTTTGTACTTGAGAAACAATACAATCAGGAGAATTACAAATAATATAATAACCATTCCACACTAACCTCCTTGTAAGTATGTAACCAACAATAACAATAAACCCACTGGGCCCCTCACTCCTTGAATAGACATAGAGTAGTCAACTCCAAAAAAATCGAGACCAATCGCTGAACATGTGAGAGCTTCGAGGCTATTAGCGACTGAGTCAGTCTGATTGTCTCTCAACAGAAATCTAGCAACTAAAATAAAATCAATTACGTACCTACCGCCCTTATTGTTTGGCATAATAATAAAAACAGAATAAAATTTAGAAAGCAGAAAATAGCAAAAGAAAATAAACTACAATTGATGTAGCAGCTGAATCCATGCTTCAAGCGTCTTCCAAACCCTAGTGGCCTAGTCACATATTTCCTCCGTGGCAACAGTACAGCCGGTTGGAGTCCAAATTCGTCACTTTCACCTGCTCCCAGTCCACCGGTGTTCCACCTAGATCAAACACATCTGGTGCAGCTGCCATCTCAGTCACCAAACAAATCCAAAATAGCCAAATCAAACATCTCAAAGTCAGGCCTCGCAATCCTAGTTGATGCATGTCCACAACCACCTCTGAAACCGCTAAACGCCATTGATATCAATCGCAACGCGACCAGAGGATAAACACAAACGCAACAAGCTCTGTAAGGTATGACTCGAACCTTACCTCAAATTGAAGCCTGCATCACCAATGATAGTTCATCAAACCCAACTGTCCATAATCGCACATCGCCGGTGAGAAGTCGGTCGTCAATTGCCAATTCTAACCCTAAACTATCTAGGTTGTTCACTAGGTTTCTCTTCTCGAGAGAGTTGTTTTTAGTTCCACTTCTTCTTTCTTTCTTCTCTTATTTTATACAAAAAAACTAGGTGCACACATTTTGTGTACACCTTTGGCACCCCAAATAAATACCCAATTTTCTTTCTTTATTCATCTCCCCTCTTTTTCTCTCCCCTCTTTTCTTTGCTCTCACGCGTCTTTCATTACCGCGGACCATTATTCCCTCTTTCTTTTTTTCTTCATTTCAAGAGCTCTTCCCATCTTTGAAGGTCTTAATCAAATTATGAGCAACCACAAATTCAACATACCCCCCCAGACCTTGTTAGTGAGGTAAGTGAGGTAATGTTTTATTTTGTATTTTCTGTGTATTTAGGGTTTATACATTTTCCTTTTTAAAAAAATCTATGTATATAATATATGTTGTTACGATGTTGAAGTGAATACTTATTACATTGTTGTATTAGTATGAATTTGTGATGTTTATAATTTAAATTTTTATTCAACTATTATATTTCAATTTTTGTCTATAAAGTGCTTGTTGAAATGATTTGATGAACTCTTTTTCTCATATCCACAAATTTTTTATGTTCTTTCTCCAATTTCCTAAATGTTAGATATTATTTTCTATTTTTCCAATTGAAATTGTGCTTTATTATCGTTTTATTTATTTGACTATTGTATTGGATTATTATGAATTTTTTGTTTGTTTTGAGATATTATTCTTTAAGTTTTACCAAATGTTGTTAAAACTTTAAATTATTTAAATGATAACTTCGTATTTGAAATCTTAATTTTAATTTTAAACATTGAATGATGGATTATTTTGTGTTAATGTAAGAGATTTTTGGTGTTAGTTATTGAAATTTCTGTCAAACTACTCTATTTTCATTTTAGGAGAAAATAATTCAAATACCCCCAACTTTGAAGTGGTGTGAAGTGAACACCTCAAACTTGCACATGTAAAAAAAAAATATCCCAAACTTTATATAAAAGTTATTTTAGCACCACGGTCACATGATTTTTCTTTCACAAATGTAAATGTGTGGTGTTAAATAAATAATTTAAATGTAATTAGCATTTATGAGAATGCAATTAACATGCACTCAAGATCTTAGCTTGAATAACTAATATTTGCTAGTCTTTGTATGTGTTAATTGTATGATTTGTATCCTCACAAATGTAAATATTTTAAAGGGAAGACTGTCAAATAGGTCATTGTACTTCCGCGAAAAAGTCAATTGAGTCCTTCTACTATTCTTAGAGTCAATCAAGTCCACCAAGGTCGAAAAATTAATCAAATCGGCCGTTTGAGCGGTCAACAGCCGGTAACCTATAAACTCGCTGATGTGGAAGCCCACGTGACAATTTTTTCCCCTTTTTATCTTTTCCTTCTTTTCCTCTTTTCTTTTTTCCTTTCTTTCCTTCGTTCTTCGCTGAACTTCTTCTTCCTTACCGACCTCTTCTTTTCAGTTTGCATCGAACCAGTGCCTTTCTTCCCTGCTCTCTTTCATTTTTTCTTTCTTTCTTCTTCCCGTTCACTATCTTTCTCCTCTTGATTTTCTCCCTCACCCCAATTTCTTTATTTTTCAATTTCTTTTTCTTTTTTTCTTCCATTCTTCTCGATTCTCTTTCTTTGGATGGGTGTAAGCAGTTAAGAAGTTGTGGCCAAGGGGTGGTGGGCACCCGACGGCCATTGGGGAAGGAAAGGGAGATGGCCGGTGGCGCGCGACATCCGTTGAGAAAGAATTGGACGATGCGAAGCGGGTGACGACGGTTGGAGAAGTGTGGGCGAGGGACGGAAGCGGCAGCAGCTGGTCAGTTTAAGCTTTGGCTTTGGAATTTGGTGGCAGATTGGAGAAGTATGGCCGGCGAGGAGTCCACAATAGCAGTTGGGGAAGTTTGAGTGAGCGGTGGCGCGCGGAAACAGATAGGTCGTGGGTGACGACGGAGCAACGACGGCGTATGAGGAAGTGTTGGGCGACGGCATATGTTGGGAAGAAATAGAACAAAAAATAAGTAAAAAAGAAATAAAAAAGAAGGAAAACAAAACTCACAATCGCAGGGGAAGGTTAGGGAAGAAGTGGTGGTTTAGGAGAGAAGAAATAGAAAAAGGAAAAAAAAAGAAATGGAAAAATAAAAAAAATTGCCACATAGGCTTCCACATGAGCAGGTACTGGAGTTACCGGCTGCTTACCGCTCAAACGACCAATTTGGTTAATTTTTTGAACTTGGTGGACTTAATTGATTCGAAAAATAGTAGAAGGATTCAATTGACTTTTTCGCAGAAGTAGAGAGACCTATTTGACAGTTTTCCCTATTTTAAATTGTGTATTTAACACCATAAATTACACTTGTCAAAGAAAAATTATATGATCATGAGTGCTCACATAAGTTTTATATAAAGTTCGAGATATTTATATTACATGCGCAAGTTTGGGGTGTTCACCTCACACCTCTTCAAAGTTGAGGGTATTTAAATTATTTCCCCCTTCATTTTATGCCTATAATATGCTTTATATAATGACCCAATGATTTTTTTTTCAAATATAAGATTTTTTTATTTGACTATTGTGAATTTGATATGTTTATTATTGACATGTTAGCTTCTAAACTTTATTATACATGAATGGTGAGCCAAAATATGAATGTCCTTGCTTGGTTGAAAATATGTAATCTTGTACTCATTATATGCTCATTATATTGAGATGTGGAACTATTTCTCTTTTATTCTTGAAGATCATAATATGACTTTCCCCTCCCTTAGACAGTATATTTACTCTTGGTGTTATGAGGCACTAGATTTACACCCGTGCGATGCACGGGACATAAGTTCTTTGAATTATGTATAAATTTGATGCAATAAAAGTGATGTATTGTGTAAAATGAATAAAAAAAAACATAAAGATCAGATTGCAAATGTAAACACGATTATTATTTAAAAAGGGATACTAAGTAATGGATATATATTTGTCACAATTAGAATCCTAAGAGCATCTCCAATGATATAATGTCAACGGTGCACATGTGGCATGAGTGATAGCCACATAATTATTAGCAAATAAATTATTTCTCTCCTTATTTGAATGATTTTATACAATTTTGGTAAGTTTTTCCCTGCAATGTCAATAACAATGTCAACATTAGACGGTCTCCTTGACATTGTGGAGAAAAACTTACCAAAACTGTATAAAATCATTCAAATAAGGAGAGAAATAATTTATTTACTAATATTTATGTGGTCATCTCTCATGCCACGTGTGCACCGTGCACATTGTACCATTGAAGATGCTCTAAATACTTAAAGATCAACGTTCCAAACTTCCAATGAATCAAGTACATACTTGGTATTTTCTTATTATAGTGTCATGTGTTATTAAATATATGTTACTTTGATCTAGCAAAACTTAATCCACACCACATCGAGCCTGTTTGGTAATATCGAAATCGTCTGACTCTGATGTAATTTATGAAGTTTTGGCTGAAAAAATAATTTTAAATGAGGTTACCAAATCATGTGGGGAGTGTTTACTAGCTACAATAAACCTGTAAATGACACAACTTATGTACCAAAAATGAATTTTATATAAGAGCTTGTTTGGTAACATTGGAATTGGATAAATTGATTGAATCTGCTAAAATTTATGAAGTTCTTACTGAAATGATTGAAGTAATTATCTGGTAGAAGTCAATAACTCGTACGTAGCTAATCTTCTTCTACAGTAACTGGCCCAAAAGACACCAGC